GACAAGAATGCTATTAGTCCTATTAAATCTATTCTTTTTTTTTTTTAAGATTAGTTTATATGTATAGCTAAATAATGAGATAGATTGACTTTTGCAGATATACACTACTGTTCAAAAGTTTGAATTTTTAATGTTTTTGAAAGAAGCCTCTTATGGTCAGCAAGGCTGCATTTATTTGATCACAATATAGAGTAAAAACTGTGATATTGCGAAATATTATTTCAATTTACAAAGGGTTTTTTTTTAATATATTTTTTTTTTTGTGATGGCAAAGCTGAATTTTCAGCATCATTACTCCATTACTACATCATTACTCACAAAACATTTCTTATCATTTCAACAATGTTGAAAACAGTTGTGCTGCTTTATATTTTTGTGGAAAACATGATACATTCTTTGATGAATAGAGAGTTTAATGGAACAGCATTTTTAAATAGAAATTGTGTGTAACAAATTTCTTTATTATCACTTTTGATCAATTTAATGTGTCCTTGCAGAATAAACAGATTCTTTTTTTTTGACCCCACATCTTTTAATGGTAGTGTTTATGAATAAATAACGAGACATTGCATTTTCTTTCTCCAAAATAAAAACAAAGACCACTAACCAAAGGGAGGTCAGTTATGTGTGCCTGACACGACAGCATCTCCTCTGGCTTTTTCACAATGCTGGTGTAGATGACCAGCACGTTCGAAAACTCAGCAGCAAAGTCCATTTTTATCTGGACTCCACACTCAAAGTCCAGAAGTTTACTCTCTGGCAGTTCTGAGTTGAAACACAAAAGCCAAAATTTGACAAATGCTGAGAAAAAGATTTATTTCCAGTACCGTTTCACTTATTGAGAACTATCATCTGTTAATATGGTCATATGAGATGATAGGAATCATCTCATGTCATGATGAAATGAAAACATTTGTTTAATCAAGGTTTTTTTTGGCATTGTCAACAATAAATAATATGCATCATGATAATAATTAAATGGTTTCAGTAAAAACAATGTTGATGAAAATATGGTGAGGAAATGATGAGAGAATTTTCATTTTTGTGTGGAGTATCCCTTCAATCATCTGTTTAACACTGTGTACTCACTCAGGGATGGTTATAGAGCTGCAAACTATTCATGAACTCATTCTGCATGTCGTCAATGTCATCAGTGGTCTCAATGGGAATACTTGGTGGGTTCAGGAAGGGTGAGCATGGCATATTCTCATATTGATATGTATGGTCAACGTACAATCGAAAGTCCCCATAACCCCCTACAGCTCCGTGGAGAGGCTCACAGACGTTGAGGTAGGGGTTGGCGTACAGCTGGGGGAAGCAGGGGCTCTGGCTGTGGAAGCGGCGGTCAGACGCGGGGCTGTGGCTGGGGCTGGTCGAGGGGCTGTGCGGAATGAGACACGTCAGCTGACAGCTGTTCTTCCTGGTGGGACGGTTGAGATCCAGTTTGGCGGTGAGGGGCTTGCCGATGCTAACGTCCATGTTCCACTGGACTAGCTCATCTAGGGAGTTAAACTGGACTTGTAGGCAGACAGTGAAAGCTAGTTCCTCCTGTAAATCAGCAAGAAAAGCATGAGAAGGAAAAAGAGGTATCAAGGTAGTTTTTAATTAATTTAAACGTATTGTAAATCAGATCTAGATCTAGCTAAAGAAGTCTTTTTAGATTATGATGTGTTGATGAAGTCCTAAGCTGAACCTTGAGTTTCTGCAGTGAGCTGAGTCTGGTGTAGAGGCAGTGATGAGGAAGACTGCCTGAAAGTAAGAAGCTTCCTGTTTCCTCCAGAGTTTCTTTATTCATCAACTTAGGGTCCACATCCAGGTCCTTCACTATCATCTGTTAATATGGTCATATGAGATGATAGGAATCATCTCATGTCATGATGAAATGAAAACATTTGTTTAATCAAGGTTTTTTTTGGCATTGTCAACAATAAATAATATGCATCATGATAATAATTAAATGGTTTCAGTAAAAACAATGTTGATGAAAATATGGTGAGGAAAAAACACAAATGGACCGAGTGTTTTAGAAGAAGGTAGGAATATGGTTGATTTAAATCCAATTGTTACTTAATTTAACAAATGTTTTAAAATTTTATATATTACATTTTTTAATAGAGTTAGGGCTGTTACGTTTTAACGTTTTGTCATCTTGCACATTACTAGTAGTAACTAAAATGTTATTTTCATTAACAGAACTTATATGCCTTTTTTGTAACGTCAATATACATTTTACTGTGAACCTCTTTTATATGGTTATTTATAGGAGTTGCACAATATTTTGAAGTAGCTGACAATACCATGTGCTTTAGACCAGAGCAGGTTCTGTGCCTCGGCTGCATCGGAGTAGTCCCCGGGGTGGATGGGATCAGTGAGGGAACGTCTCTCTGACAGACTGCTGCGGATCTCTAGAGCCTGCTTACCCTTTGTGGGGTCAAACTGACCCATATCTACAAACAAGCATGACATGCAACCAAACACAAGTTAGATGAAATATGAATTGAAATTAATATGGGAAATTATTACTATCGTTAGTAGAAGTAGTAGTCACAGTGAGTAAGTACTGAAAGTAGAAGTACACTTTTCAAATCAGTTAATCATTTGTTTGAGCTTAATGGACCTGCATTTAACTAATAAAAGTTGTAATGCTTCATTTAACTTTAACATGCTCAAGGTTCCCTCACCTTCAGCCACTCTGTCTAGCAGAACAGTTATCTTCTCATCCTCTAGGAGGCGCTCCTTCAGGAATTTAATAAAGACTCCATTGGTGAATCCACTTGAACTCAATTCAAAAGCCTCAGCATCTTGGCAACTTCAGAAAAATAATACATCACAACATAACATGTCAGATAGAAAACAAAATGTATTGCAGCATGTTATTTCTGGATGAAAAAGAAAGACACTATAACTCACGTGGCATATCCAAACACAATATTGGCTGTAACTTTGAGCACAACGTTTGGCATGGCATCATCATGTACATTTCTGAAGCGATATATTAGTGTTAGAATGATGATAACCAATGTATGTAATGCCAATGTGAACATGATTTGTTATCCCGCATTTTAAAACCACAAAATCCACACCTTTTCCTGCACATGTCCAGGAGGAAGACATTGAGTCCAGTCTCCTTCTCCTGCATCAGTTTCAGAATGCTCTGAACACAGAGACAGTTGCCTGAGCGGTATGGGTTTGGGGCATCAACGGGCACCATGAAGCTGTTCCCAAAGTTCTCATAACCATGACCAGCATAATACAACAAACCTACAGTGAGGAAAAATCGTCGAAGAGTCATTTCAATCAAAAAAAAGAACATTCTGTCGTCATTTGCTCACTCTCATGTCATTCCAAACCTGTACGACTTTAATATATATATGAGATATTTTACAGATTGTCTGGTCTGTTATTTTTCATACAATGAAAGTGGATGGTGAATCACACTTTTTTTAAATTCCAAAAAAGTTTGGAATCAGTTTGACACATTAACTATATTTATAGGAATTCTAAAAGTCATACGATAGCTTTGCATGAAGCATTAATCAAAAATGAAGTTGCTATTTGCTGAAAAGGTTTCCCTCGGCTGAGGATCTCTGTTTGAACTTGTGTACATATTGGGCATGTGACAGTATCAAATTTACGTTTCACAATGAGTGCCGAAACATTTATCACAGTATATGGTATTGTATTGAATTACTACTAAACAGGTTGATAAGATAAAAAACTTCTATATTACTGTATTAAAAACAAGTTTAACAACTTAAAAAAAAACTTGAACATTTAAATACAATAAAACATTGCACAATAAATAAAAATGTATAAAGTAAACAAACAGATTAAAGTGCAAAAAGAACAACTACAAATAGCAGAAAATTTTAACCAATTTCAATATATTTTCTGGGCTGGCATGTTTTAGTCTAG